AAAAAAAAAAAAAAAAAAAAAAAGAAAAACGTTATTGGTTAACTATTTAAAAAAAATAAAACTATAGGCCAATCAACTCTCATCACCCGGATCACCCTTTGAGCCGTAGGATCCAACAAAATCAATGGATGAAATTTTTTTATTTTATTTTCTCATTTTCTTTTTTTTTCTCTTTCTCTCTTATCTTCGCAGATCTCCTCTCTCTATCTCCTCGTACCTCTGATTATTCTCGTTCACTCTCTTTGTCTATGTTTCTATCTCTCATCTTATTCTACATACCTTAAACAATTTTCTCATCCATCATCACCATAACCTAATCTGTCTCAACCCCATCAGCTCAAGCGAAATCTGTCTCCTTTGTGTAAGTTGTTTTCCTTTAAACTCTCTATATTCATCGTTGATTATTTCCTTAGTTCTGTTGATAACATAGATTTTGTATGTGCGTACATACTGATTTGTGTTTTTGGAATGTAAAGGAGACTTGAGATTTTACGAGGGAGACATGAAAATTGGCGGAGGAGAAAGAGGCTGAAGAAGACGATGATGGTACATCCGTCGTCACCAACACCACCATAGCTTCTCAGATCCATCACCACCGCCATGCTCGTCATCACCACCACTGGTCCTCTCTCTCTCTCTATGAATCTGATTTTTTTTGTTCATAGAGACGGTCGTGAGCAGAGGAGGAAACGTCGGTCGTGAAGGGAGGAGGCAGCGGAGAAGGATACTGATGCAGTTAGTTGACGGCGGCAAAGCAAGCGTTGCTGCAGAGTTAGGGTTTAATTTCTTAGGTTAAGCTGGTTTAGTTTTTTTTTTCTAAACCGGGTTTATGTGTACACCAGATTTAGGTTAATTATGGTTTGGTTTAATGTTTGTAATTAGTTTTTGGTTTAATATATATTTTTTTTTTAATTATTTATGCTGATTTTAATCAATAAATAAAATTTAATCTTTTATGAGTTAACTTGAAATTTCATTTTTAATTATTTATTTTAATTTTCATTAACTATTGTTAATTAAATATTTTAATAATTAATTTAATATTTTTTAATTATTTTATAATTAATTATAGTATTGTATATATGTCAATATAAATTATGTTGTGGCATGTGAAAAATGCCATAGAAAATCATATCATAGCAAAATTACGGTGTTATTAAAACATTTTAATATCGCGTAGCATAAATGCTATAATCTCTTTAGTTTTTATAGCACACGAAAATACGCTACGATAGGCGGGGGTCTACCATAGCTGCGGCTGTCACGGCATTCTTCGAAACGCTACAAAAACCCTATAATAACGTTTTTCGGGTGCTACCAATACCGATATTTCTTGTAGTGTTACGAGTTCCAATAGTATAATGTTCTGTTTTATTTTAGTATAATGTTTTATTACGAGTTCCAATAGTTGGATAGAGCTCTGCTCTTTATGGTTTTTGATTGTAGCAGGAAATATAGTATGTGTTTTTGCTTAGAATGTTCATTTTGATTTAGTTTTCTGTGAATGTTGATTTTTCCTTGTCTTGTTTTTGTACCAAGTTTCAGCTATTGATACTATGGATCTCCCATCACTTGAAACACTTGCGGGTCTGGCTGCTGAAAATGAGAACATGGAGGTGCAGATAGAAGGTGAAGAAGAAGGTGACGAAGAAGGTGACGAAGAATCTCATGAACAAGCAGCAAGTGTCACTCAGCCATTTCAATCGGTACGTAAGAGACGTAGGGGTAGGGCTAAATGTTGGGACGATTTTACACATTTAGGACTAGAGGCTGATGGAAAAGAAAGGGCTAGATGTAATCATTGTGGTCTTAAGTTAGTAGCAGAAAAAACACATGGAACATCATCATTAAACCGCCATTCTGATAGATGCCCCGCTAAGACTAGGTCTGTTGCTCCTAAATATGATCACAAAACTGATAGGGAGAAGATGTCTGAGATAATTATATATCATGACTTACCTTTTCGATATGTTGAATACGAAAAGGTAAGGGAAAGAGATAGATTTCTTAACCCTGATGTTCAGCATATCAGTAGACAAACTGCTGCATTAGATGTATACAAGAGATATGAGATAGAAAAAGCTAATTTGATAGATGTTTTGCTGAAACACAAAGGTCGAGTGTGTTTTACAGCAGATTTGTGGACAGCCCAAAGTGTTGTGATGGGATATATATGCATTACTGCACATTATATTGATGAGAATTGGAGATTGAATAATAAGATTTTAGCTTTTTGTAATCTTAAACCTCCTCATAGTGGTGAAGCGATTGCTAAGGCAGCTTATGATTGCTTAAAGGGATGGGGATTGGAGAAGAAAGTATTTACTATTACACTGGATAATGCTAAAGCTAATGATAATATGCTAAATATCTTAAGCATCGGCTTCTGAGTAGTAGTGGGAGTAGTGGGCTGTTGTGTAGTGGAAAATTCTTGCACGTTAGATGCTCTGCACATATATTGAATCTGATTGTGAAAGCAGGATTAGGATTAGCCACTAGTCTAATAGAGAACATAAGAGAGAGTGTAAAGTTTATAAAAGCATCCGAGTCAAGGAAAGACTCTTTTGCTATCTGCGTTGAGAGTTGTAGGATCACAGATACTGCGGGTTTATCTTTAGATGTCTCTACCAGATGGAATTCGACATATAAAATGTTGGCAAGAGCTATAAAATTCAGAGAAGCATTTGCTATTCTGAATTTGTATGAAAGAGGTTACAAATGGTTGTCATCAAAGGAAGAGTGGGAACGTGGAGTCAAAATATGTGACTTGCTGAAGCCTTTTAGTACCATTAGCAATTACTTTTCAGGAGTAAAATATCCCACCGCCAATGTCTACTTCATTCAGGTGTGGAAAATTGAGATGATGTTGAAGAAGTATGTTGATTGTGAAGATGATGGCGACGTGAGAACAATGGCTCAGGCAATGAGAAAGAAGTTTGCGAAATATTGGGATCAATATAGTGTGATTTTAGCTATGATGGCTGCTTTAGATCCGAGGTTGAAACTGGATATACTTGAATCAGCTTATCATAAGATTGATCCAAGGACTTCTGAGAAAAAGGTTAAGGTTGTTAGGGACAATCTGATTTCGCTTTATGAAGAATATCAAAAACCAGCAATTCCTTCAAAGTTTTCTGCAACACTAACTCCACATGAGCTTCTCACAGAGTCACCACTTGAAGATGATATGGATGATGTAAGTTCTTCCATTTTTTTCATTTAACAAAATAGTTCTTAGTGGTTACTGGTTTGTGTGTCATTCTAATTTGAGCTTTGTATATGACAGGATCTCTTTGAGCTTGAAAATAGCCTCAAATCTAGTTCAAGAAATGCCAAGACAAATCTGGAAACTTATTTAGATGTTGAACCAAGACTAGAAATGAAAACTTTTGAAGACATGGAAGTTTTAAGCTTCTGGAAAGAGAATCAGCATCGATATGGTGATCTTGCTTCAATGGCATCTGATTTACTGAGTATACCCATCACTACAGTTGCAGCTGAATCAGCTTTTAGTGTTGGAGGAAGAGTTCTTACTCCTTTCAGAAATTGACTTCTTCCTAAAAATGTGCAAGCGTTAATTGGCACTCGAAATTGGTTGAGGGGATTTGCAGAGTTTGAAGGTAAAATTTTTATTATTAACTTACAGAAATTGATTTTTTATGTTATTTATATAACTTGTATGCATTAGCGATAGGAGATATTGAAGATTTCTTTGATGATGAAGATGATGAATCTGCAAAAAGTAGCCCAAAAAGTAGCACATGAAGGTAAAGCTTTCATTTGTTATAAGTTTAGAAGTTTTTTTTTGCTTTGTCGTGAGTTACTTGTGCAGCTAAGAAGGTGATAGTGTCGATTAGTTTTTGTTCAATGTGTCTGTCTCGATGTAAAGAGTGATGAGCACTCTTCAAAGCTTAGTTTTCTGATTGAGCATAGTTTTTTTGTGTGATGTGATGTCTTTGGTCTTAAGGGTACTCGCTGCTTGAATGATTTTGTTCTGGTTTGGTTTGTTCTGGTTTTTGTTCTGGTTTTTTGGCCTCTTAATGATTTTATAAATGTTTGGCTGCTTGAATGGCAAAATAACAATACTTGTTTGTTTCAGCGTGTGAAGTAAGCTATTGTAGAACTAACTTAGACTTCCTTGAAACGTATTGTAGAACTAACTTGACTTTGATTTGGGGCAAATGATTGTGTTTTGTGTATTTATTATCCTTTTTGGAACAGAATAATGATTGCGTTTGTGTATTTGGTTCCTGCTTGTTTTGTGTATCGGATTTCTTGATGGGTTTGTGAATTAATTACTTTGGCTTGATGGGTCTGAGTTGTAACTATGTCTGATTTGTGATATAGGTCTTGTCCGTGGAGTTGAGGTAGATAATGAGTAAGGTTTTTATTGTGGCTTTTATGACTAACGTGACTTGAAGAAAGTGACTAACGTGAAGTTTTGTTTCTAATGACTAAAGTGACTAAGGCTTGATGGGTCTAAGGTTTTCTTTGTCTAATGATTAACGTGAATATATTATGATAATGTGGATATTCTTTGATGATTTACTTGGTTTATGCATCAAAACATTGATGTTTGAGACTTGTTTTGCAACTTATCTATGACTGTTTTGGTTTACGCATCAAAATACTGATTGTTCTCTTGATTGGTTTGTTTTAAGAGAATAGTCCAGGACCAAGATTGTTAAGAAAGTCCAAGGCCAAGATCTATATATATAAATGAAAGTTTGCCTCCTTCACATTCATCCACGTAGGATATTCCCAAATTCCCCTTTTGACACGTGTCCAAATCGAAATGGGCTTCTTAAAATTTATTGGCCCAAATACGGTTCAGCCAAAAGCCCGTTTGTGCTTGGCCTCTTTCAGCCTGTCTCCCTCTCCCACGATGTAAGCTACGTTCACTTCGACGACCCACCGCTTTTGATATCATATGAGCTCGCATCTTCCTCTCTATGTCGATTTTTTTTCCATCGTTACAGTGTTATATGCAGATTCTTTTATCATTGATGATAGTAATTATCACTCCCCAACGATCTGCAATCAATCTACTCTTATCAGTTCAAAGTCGGTGTATAAGCTGTATATATAGAGGTCAGATCCTCATTTTCTCAGAATCATTCACGATCTTATATCTCACAGATTCATTAGTTTCTTTTGTAATGGCTTTGAGCAGAGTTTTTTTTTCCGACTTGAGGTCGGGTTGCTGCTCCCCCGCCGTCGAGGTCCGCCTGCTCCGGTTCTGGGAGGCGAGAAATCCACGCCGGGGTGGCGAAATGATGTGGATTGACATGCTTTTGGTCGACGTCAATGTAAGATATCTTTGAGATTTTCTATCGTCTACATATATATTCCCACAACCGTGTTCTTAATCTCCCCCGTGTTTTTATATCTTGACGCAGGCAACTATTATGCAGGCGACCATTAATGCTAGCCGTGTGGGAGCTTTCCGACCAAAACTCACCACCGGTAACATGTACTCCATCTCAGGTTTTGATGTTAGTCGATGTGCTTCGAATTTCCGGTTGACTGATTCTACATTGATGATCTCGGTTTGCCGAGTCGACCGGTTTTGATGAGATTACCGAACTGGTTTCGCCATTACCCACAGAGGGATTCAGATTTCGTGATCATACCGAGCTGATAGGTTTGGCTAACACGAGCTCTCAGCTCCCAGGTAAAAAACAATTCTACACTGCTCTCAATTTCAGAAACTGTAATAACCATATTTTTCTGTTCAGACATCATCGGTGAGCTAATCGCCGTCAAGAGCACCGTCACTGATCCGCCTGAGGAGAAAAACCGTGTCATGGCCACCATCAAATTGGAAAGGTAGCTCTTACAATTTTGTTATGCTTAATAATATAGCATGTTTGCTAAATCTTTATAAAACGTAGCCTAATTTCACGCTTGTTATTTTCATTTTTTTTTCCTTGGTCTTTACATCTCCCTCAGTGATGTCTCTGTCGCATTGAGCCTCTTCGATGCCGAAGCTGTTGATTTCCACCAGAAACTAGACAGAATGCTTATTGATCCAAAAGTCATTGTTGCTACCAGCATCAATCCCAAAATGGTTGGAGGTACTTGGCGGATCTTACAATTAAGATTTGAATTTGTTTTGTCTACCATCGACCATTATATGTGATTATTGTTCTGGATTGCTTACATAATAGGATGTGTTTTAAAACTCTTACCATGCTCAGCCATTGTAGTATATTCAAGTTTTTTGACTACTTCTGCTTTTGATAGGATTATGCTGGGTTTTATAAAATTCTGACATCATTGGTATAAATATATTTTTTCCAGGCCGTTTATTCCTCAATGCAACTTCTGGAACCCACATCTACTTTGACAAAGAGACCACTGCAGGGGAGACCTTTTTCTATCGGTAGGATAAGGGGATGAATTGATATAGTAATATATCTGTAATCTAAGTGGGATGATTTATTTAAATAGCAGTGATTAACATTCCGGTTTGGTTAACTGCAGATTGGTGGCCAGAGACACTGGACTTCCACCTGCTGCACCTCTGCTGAAAGGATATGCTAAAGTGGAGTCACTAACCATAGCTGAGCTCAATTCATTCATCATCACGGCTCCATCACAGGTACTGAGATTAAGTTGATGTTTGATAGTATGTCAAAGCTGTTGCATTAAATAATAGATATCTCATCTTCAACATAGGCTATTGATTTCATTTGCTCTGGAAAAGTGTGTCGGTTGACCCAGAGAAAGGGTGGTGTTATGTTGCATGTTCCAAGTGTTCCAAAAAACTCCAACGCACTGTCAATTCTTTCACGTGTGAACGTTGTGTCAATCACCATGCTGTTGGTTCCCTCCGGTTTGTAGCCTCATGATATTATGTTATCCTTATTTGGTTATGTGATAAATATTTTCTAACTTCGTATGTACTGTTATTTACTTTCAGTTATCGAGTTTAGATGGTGATTGCTGATGATACTGCGGAAGGGGTGTTTGTTTGCTTTGATGGTGTGATGACTAAGTTACATAATCTGAAAGCAAGCGAAGCTGTTCAGCTGCTGGTAAGAAACACAACATGACACTTAATGTTATATCTGATATATATATTATTGTTTGTGTCAGCTTAATGTTATATCTGATATATCTCTGTTATTGTTTTTGTCTAAATTAGGCTGGAGATGGTGTGAATCCTGAAGACGCAAAGATACCTCCGTTTATTGCCGACATGGAGGGAAAAGACTACACTTTCCAGGTTAGGGTAAGTGAGTATAACTTCAGTGTGAACCATCAGACGTTTACCATCACGAGCATTCTGAAGGATGGTGATCGTCCCCCGGTTCCTGACTTTGTGGAAAACGTAAGATGAGTTTCTGATATTATGTATTAGCGTTGAAAGGTTGATGCTGTTGATTTCTATTAGTTTGATCAGGGTGGTGACGGTCATGATGGGAACGATGGTAAACAAATCTCTGCCAGTCTTGGGAACGGAAGTGCCAGGATCGGAATAGCAAATGACGATGTCTCTGCTCCTACCGGTGGCGCCCCTGATGATTACCCGAGCTCATCTTCCACCGTTGGGAAGAAGGCGCGTCTCGCCTAATAAGTGACTGCTGTTGCCGTCTTTATCCCTTTCAGTTTCCTAATAAATGTTTTTCCCTTTTCCCCTATGTGGGTAGTCTATTTCTAAGTAAGAGACTTTCTCGAATTATATTTATAAAATAAATGCTCTATGCAGCGTTAATCATTTATATGAGTAATGAAATAACCAACATCAAATCTGTTTAGGGTATAGTTTTAGTACCTATCTATTTAGCTTTCTATATTAATATTTATAAAATAAGTGTTATACGCAGCATTAATCATTTGTGTGAGACTTATAAGTGAGAGATACAACTATTTAACAATATAAGCAAATCAAACGTGTGTTGCGCGGTCTTTGTACCTAGCGATTTAGCTTTCTATAATAGTATTTATCACAAACTAAGTGCTTTATACATCATTGATCATGTCTCTGAGTACCGACAAGTTAAAGAGTCAAGAAACTAATGCTATCCAACTCAAATGTGTTTTGCGTATAGTTGTTCATTATAAACTAAGTGCTCTATGTAGCATTAATCATGTCTCTGAGTACTGAAAAATTAGAGAATCAAGAAACCAACGATAACCAAATCAAATGTATTTTGCGTATAGTTGTATTATCTGGCTATTTAAGTCATTGTCTAAATATATAAATAGATATTAATAAGATTTAACTGGCTTTGCATATAAAAATTTAATTAGGCCCATTATACAATCATTAGACTACGTGACTTGCCATTGAGTAGATGCTTTTCTCTTTGTAATTTCCGTACGCCACAAGGTCCGTTCTCTTCATTTGACTGCGACTCCAGAACATGATACACGTGTGCAAATTCGAACAATATCCCATCATCACTAAATGTATCCTATGATTCTTCTCGCAACTAATCATGTAAGATCAGTTAACGGCATTGATCTTTTAGGACATTACATGTTCGAATTGTATGAGTTCTGAAATCTGTGATGCATGTAATCATACAGACTGTAGCTTCTATTTTAATTTCTTCCATATTTTCGAATAGATCACCACATGTGTATTGATACTTTAGATATATTGTTTTTCTAACGTCCAAAACACATGCCGTACGAAGAAACATTCCTTTCTACCGAGTTGCACACGATTTGCTTGCTATACACAAACATCCAGTTACACTATAGCCGAATTCGAGGTACGTATATCGGTTAGGTATTTCTTAAATTCTCTTTCAGATTGGACTAAAAACGAAACGATGTTACACAACTACACTTTCCATTGAAAATCATAAGTTATGCAAACGACCATGCACAGGATGAAACTCACGATATACGTCCAAACTAATTAGTTAAATTCATGGATTTAAAACAGATAGTGCAATCGGGGGAAGTACTCGAAAGAAAATGAAACCTAAAAACATCCTCATTCAAAATCAAGAGAGCGTATAATCCAATTAAGCACCTTGATTACCAATATTCACACGTTTCCAAATCGAAATCCCAAAATTATGTGCGTACAATCAGACGTTATGTAACACGTTATAAAAAAACTCCGTTTGAAAATTTCCAAATATGAAATAAAACATAAAAATGGAACATCACACCCGCCAGGAAAACAAAAATATCAATAATAATAAACCTATATCTAAATCACCGCATACAAACTTTAAATAGGGTGTGTAAATTATTAAGGGTTCGAAAAGGGATTATAAGACGTAAAATATAATGAATCATAAGAAAAAAAATACAATAATCATTTTTAGGTGATGGTGGTCGATAAATATTATAATACTTTTCTTTATCGGTACCAACCGATATTGTATCAGGATCAATCGATGATTCCTTGACCTTGAGTTGACGTCTAAACTTTCGTCTATCTGTACTCCATATCTAAAACTTACCTTTTTAAAGTTCAATAATAGAACATTTTAAAAAAAAAATTATTGGTACAATTTTTTAACTATGTAACATCTGAGGTTAGAGCAACAATATTGGTGTCCCTTAAGGCATCCCTTAGAGGGGAGGGGGACCACGAAATGCGGGGACCGAGGAAGAAAGAGAAGGGAAAAGCCCTTATATAAGGGCTGTCCCTTACAAAAACGTGACCAAACAAAAAAAAAAAAAAAAGAACTTAAGGACCTTTATCCCAATCCCTCCTATAATGTTGCTCTTAGGACACGTTAGAAAACAATAACTCTAGCAAGAAACCGCATCGAAGCTACAAAACCCTCCTATATAAACAAGTGCCCAATCAAAAAGAAAAATACATCTATACATTCTTTAGCTATATTCCATTATTTCCAAACGAGATTTAGGCAGATCGTTACTGTCTTACTTTCGTTGGGTTATCTTACGCACTTTCTTTCTAAAATAAAATACATAACAACAAAAAATTCATTCATATATCCAACAAAGGTTAAACAAAAATATATTCTTCCAAAAGTATGAAATATGAACAAACATCACTTCACTGATCGGAACATGTAGTAATTCTCTTTAAACAATATTTTCGGACACAACAAATTAAAAAAAAAAACTCAAATTTAAAAATTGAACTTCTAATCCGGCGCGTAGCGCCGGACCGCCCCTAGTTGTTATGTATTTAAAGTTCTCAAACATTATTTTCACAGTTTTTATGATGTTGTTTCACACTTTCAAGCATGTTTTGTGACAATTAACAATAATTTCAAACTTCTTTCAATTACATAAAATGCATGTTTACATAAAAAATATATAAAGGACTTAAAATGGGTTAAAATAGGTCAAAATGGGTTCAGCCCTCTTTACATATTTTGATGGGTTTTAAAAGGGTTGGGTTTATTTAGGGCTGGACTTGAAGTAAATATGGCTGGGTTGGGTTGGGTAACCCATTACAACATCCCTAGATGCTACTGTCATACTTTGTTTCTTATAAAAGATAATCCTAAAAAACAAGACTTATTCTTGGGTTCACCAACCAATAGAGTGTTATTTTATATTTGATATCTTTTAAAAAAAGAAACAAAATCTTGTCAAGTTATATTATGTTTCCAAACTAAAAATAGAAAAAATAAATAAAAAATACTAATATTTACAAAAAACGAAAATAAAAATCTTTAAAAATATTTTAACATTATATTGTTTTAAAATAAAAGATAAAAATAAAATAAAAATAGTAATAATTGCAAAAAACAATTTAAAACAAAAAAATATTTTAATATATCTTTAAAATAAAAACATGTGGTTAAAATAAGATAAAAATAAATAAAAAAATAATACAATTGGTTAGTATTAATTTACCCAAGGGTTAAGATTTTTCCAAAGGGTTAGGGTTTAGGGTGTAGGATTAGGGTTTAGGGTTTAGGATTAGGGTTTAGGGTTTAGTATTAGGGTTTAGGGTTTAGGATTCGAGTATAGGGTTTAGTGTTAAATATTTTTTTAAAAAGTTTTTTTTTTTGTTTTTTTAATATTATTATTTTTTATTTATGTTTGGTATTTTTATTTTAAAAACATAATATAACTTAACAAGATTTTATTTCCTTTTAAAAAAAATATCAAATATAAAATAACATTATCCTATTGGTTGGTGAATCTAGAGGTTCACCCTAGGGGATGAACCTAAGAATAACTCCAAAAAAAAATGTTGGTAAATGAGATCAGGCTGCTGCTCCCTCTGCACATCATCCTACGATGACCTTCAAAGAGTATTTGTTAAACATGTGTTTTTATTTTAACAGTTTAATTTTTTTGCTTTTCTCAGATATCTCTGCAGATGCATCAACCTTTATGCAAGAACCTTTTCTTAATTCCCAGAAACCGGTTCCCGTTATGAACAATGTAGAGCAGGAAAAGACTGAGTCATTCATCAAACACGGAAGCAATACTGGGAACGATATATTAAAACTAAGTCATGACGCACCACAGAGCTCTAGATTCAACTCTGATTCCGTGGATTCAGCAGCTACAACAGGATCAAGAGCTTGGTCACTGAGGAGCTGAAACAGTATTTCAGACCGGAGTTCTTGAACAGGTTAGATGAGATGATTGTTTTCAGACAGCTGACGAAGCTGGAAGTCAAGGAGATTGCTGATATAATGCTTAAAGAAGTGGTGGTGAGGCTCAAGGAGAAAGAGATTAAGCTTCAGGTGACTGAGAGGTTTAAGGAGATAGTGGTGGATGAAGGGTTTGACCCGAGTTACGGAGGGAGGCCGCTTAGAAGAGCGATCATGAGGCTGTTGGAAGATAGCATGGCGGAGAAGATGCTTTCGAGGGAGATTAAGGATGGAGATTCAGTGATTGTTGATGTTGATGGTGAAGGAAGTGTGGTTGTGTTGAATGGTAAGAGTGGAGGTGGTAGTGTTGCTGAAGAAGTCATGGAAGATCCTATTTTTGTTTTGTAGAAGGAAAGAGCAGGGAGACTCTAAAGAGATATTCATTTGCTTGTGTTGAGTTGAAGTTTATTCTTTCTTTTCCTAAAAGCTTTGTTGGACTTGAGTTGCTAAAATGAGAACACACCAATGCTTACTCCGATAACTGCGACCAGGAGGAGAATCCAGGAGCCTCTGAGGTGGCTAATATTTACAGAAGCAGCCAAATGAGTGATGTCATGGATAGGTTCAAGATACTAAAACGCCGGGAAGCTGATAAAGTGCAGGAAACTGTCAACAGCCTCGACTCAGATTCAGATTCTGAGCCAAGAAACAAGACACAGATTTGTGACCATCTCTGGTCAGACTCGATGATAACAATAGTTGGAAATTCTGTTACAGAGATGACGCATGCCGCCAATACTGAAGAACCATCTGCATCTGGCGATGGCTGCGAGAGCCCGACCTCTCGGCAAGGATAATTGAGTCCTTTCAACTTCCTTGGACAAGAAGTTTCGATCGTTTATATGGTTTGTGTACAATATAACTAATTGAAACTCTTGTGTGTCCTTATTCTTAGTGAGCCGATCTTTTCATTTTTCAAATACACCAGTGCTATTACATTATGCTTTAACAGGTGACCACTAAAATTAAAATTAAAAATGAACAAAAAATTAAATAAAAACAAAATAAAAGGAATGAAATAAATGCTTATTACTTTTGTTCCATATCAAATTTGAGGAGCAATGTTTTTATTCATATAGTTTTTTTTTTATAACCGTGGGGTATCTCAGGCGGTAAGTTTAGACTAATCCCAACGAGGACTTTCATCTGGATACGCACTGGTTATAGGCGGGAAGGTGGCCAAGGCGACTCGAACCCTGGACGGACACTCCAACTGGAGTTCCATTACCACTAGATCAAGAGCTCTTGGTTAAAAGTGTTAAGGGCTAGAGAAATTTTTTATTCTATAGTTACCCAAATTTTAGGGAATGAAAAATAATCAACAATAGTTTCGGGATCAAGAATTTTCATGAATTTGTTTATAATGTCTAACACTATATAGTAAACATGATTACTATTTTGAAAAGAACTTTGATACTATGGAATTAATTGGTTGGTACTATATCTTTAATATTTTTTCTTTAGAGAATCTGATGTAAGCTCTTTTGATTTAGTTTTAAATTTGGAGAATAAAACTCATAAACAAGTCCTTAGACAAAGAATGTGACTGTTAAAATCCACCAGAAGTCTCAGCTTACCACTGGAAAATCTACCGTGACCATCTATTTCAAGTTAAGTTTGGTCGGCTACCAAATCCTTAAAAGTTCTGATTTTAGATTAAAGTTCTTTAATTGATGTTGTTCATATTTCTCTTTGCAAATTTAAATCTAATGAATCTCTAAGAGAATCAAACTTTTCAAACTTTTCAGATGAAACAAATCCACTAGGATATCAACATTTGCGATCTAGATGACTAGAAACAAATTACACTAGGATATCAAGCCGTACGAAGTTCACCGCGAGCTTTACGAACCGGATTTTATTTGAGTTGTGGTAGATATGTGACTGAAGCGAGCCGTTGAGTCCATTGGAAGAAAAATCAAGACTTTGCATCTGTAATGTTTTAAATTATCCTGAGAAATCAAGACTTTGCATCTGTAATTTAAGAAAGAAGTAAGTAATTTCGTCTCTTCCTTTTCCTGCAAGATTTTAACGCGCCACCACAGTTTTGAATGGATTACAGATTTGCGTTTTATCCTTCATAGGATAGACAAGAAGTTAGTATTGTACAGGTTGTCTGCAACAAGTTCAACTGTATCTTTTACCCAAAAAAAAATTCAACTATATCACCATGGTTAAAGCAGTTGAACTTTATATTGCCATTCGCAGTTACGCGAGATTATTTATATTAATATTTATAAATTATGTTTTAAGTTAAAATTTTATGATTTGATGATATTTTATAAATCTATATATAGTAAATATAATGGTAGGTAAAATCTCTAGTGCTAGTAAAGCAAGTAATGCTACTAATACTAATAGTATTGATATTACTAGTAATACTAACAGTCACAAAATATGAATACAAAATATACACCTTAGATGATGCAGCAGCAGACATGTTTTCAGTTTCGAACTCATTTGACTGAGAGCATCAGTTCTTTCATTAGCGTATTTTTTTGATGGACTACATTTTTTCTTTCTACAGATTCATTTGTTTTTAAGTCTGGTTTTCTGGTTCAAGTAAATTGATGACGTCCTCTCTTTTGTTCCCTTCATAATCATGTCCAAAACATTACAAACACAACCACTCAATCACTCCAAATTCAAATCGAATAAAAACAAACACATGTTCAATTAAGTTTCATCAACACAAAAAAAAAACATCAGTTATCGGTCCCAAATTGAGTAATATATACCTACCTAACAACTACAAATTTAAACCGCATAACAGTAAATACTACGTCAATTAAGTTTCATCAGCACACAATTTCAAAACTAATACTTGTGTTTCTTCATATGCAAAGTTTTTTCAGCAATTTATAAAGTTTTCTAAAAATAATTTTACTTTCAAAACTACCAGATAACGACCAAATCAAGACTAGTCACTTACCAGAAGAAACAAAGATAGAATCTTGATTTCAACAGAGAAGAAAGAAGGAACGAAGCAGTTTCTGATTTTTGGATTCTGGAAACATAGACAAAGAGATAATGGAGACTCCAGGAGAGATTGATAGAGCTGAGGATGAATTTTTAATTGAGATGGATGACAAATAAACCACAATGTGACAGAGACTCTAGGGTTTTGATTTGGAGCCTTTTGATTTCTGTTTTATTCTTGTGGAATGACTCGATGAAATAAGAGAAAGAAAGAGAAGAGAGAAGAAACGTGTAATAACTTAAACAGAGTAGATTTGTGTTTAAAAAAAAAAACTTAAACAGAGTAGTTTTGTTTTAGGATAAATTAGGTAGTTTGTAAATATATGATTTTTTAAAGTGTAATTCGTCTTTAGCCATATTATCTATTTAAAAAGAAAATGAAAAAGAAATTATCAAATTTATTAAAACAGAAACATTGTTAACTTTTGCCCTTATTACTACTTGGAATATTACTTATTTTGCCATTGAACCTACTTAAAAAGTGATTTTATATAACTACATTTAATCTATTAAAAGCAACCACGATCTATTCTCTGACCTAAACAGTTACGTTTCCGTTCTATATATTAAACAGTTGTATTTATCGTTTTATATTTTACACATGGATCAGAGTTCATGTCTGTTTTGTAATTATATGTCTTCATTGTTTGCAAATGGATTTAGCCCAATTAACAAGACATTTGTCTTCATTTTGTATATTTATACTATTAGCCCAATACATTTTTTTTTGAATTACCAAGTATCATAATAGTATAATTCTTTTAAAACACACAAAATTTATAAATCTTGAAGTATACAAACATAAATTATTTATACAATGGTCTACAACTGAGATTGAAATATATCATATCAAACTTCAAATTATTTTTTCTAATCAAAATACACTATGTTCAAGTGAAACAATAATTTACAAAAAAAAACATTTAAAATATTGAGATAAACACAAAAAATATATATATATATATATATAATTCACACAATAGATTAGAGCATTTTGATACAATTTTACAAATAAAGTTCTTCACATCAAAATTATAAATCTATTTAAAACTTATTAAATAATCAATAAAAATAAAGGAACATGACCTATTGATATAGGTGTAGTCCAATTATTATGTTCATTTATTTAAAGTTAAATCAAAATGTATATATCACTCAATACAATTATCAAAACACTTTACTAATCATTTTTAAAAAATATTTTATACAAATATGATTACAACGAAAAACGCAGATATAAAAATTAAGTGTCTATGAGATTTGCCACATCATGAACTCCAAAAAATTAAATATCTAAAAAAAAGAAAACAAAAAATATACCCGCCCTTTGAAGGGCGGGTCGAAATCTAGTATTGTATTAAAGAAGGGACATAGAGGAAATTTCGATGGGGGTAGAGGGTAATATGGAGTTATCCTCCAAATCTCCCTTGTCCAGCATTGTTGTTAAAAGAGAGAGAGAAAGTACCCTTTGGCTCAATCTTTGAGTCGTCGTCGTCGTCGTCGTCTTTGTCTCCTATTGATCGATTTCCTAGAAACGGCGTGCAAAACCTAAGGTAATCAATTCCGTCTCCCGTATCGATCTATTCCTTATCTTTTTTTTTGTCCGTTAGATCTCGCTGATTGTTTTCCAGTAAGAGAGAAAATGTGGGGAATAGTTAGGCAAAGAGCCGTCGATGGAGGCTTCTCTGCTTCGGTAAGAGGCTTTTGCTTTGTTTATCTATTATCTCTGATTCTTATATTGGGAAATGGGTTTTGAACAGTCTCTCAGAAGAACCCGATCCGCGTTGGTTTCCGCCAGGAGCTACGCAGCTGGTTCAAAAGAGGTATCGTCTTTATCCAATTTTAGCTTCCTTTTTGCTGTCAAAAGTGGTATTGTCTTTTTATCGAATTCCAGTCTTTCTCAACATTACTCAAAAGATATATGAAAACTTTTTCTAAAATACATTTTTTCGTGGTTAAATAAAATCCCTTTTGTAGATGACAGTCAGAGATGCCCTTAATTCTGCAATAGATGAGGAGATGTCTGCAGATCCTAAAGTATTTGTCATGGGTGAAGAGGTTAGTTACAGCTGACACTGATTAAAATCATCTTCCATGCTATTTTTGTAGTTTGATATATATTGATATTTCATCTTCCATCTTCTTTTGTAGGTTGGACAATATCAAGGTGCCTACAAGGTTAGAATTATTTGACCTCTGAATGAATTTCAGATTTTTGGCCATTTGTCTTAATACTGGATGTACTCACAGATCACTAAAGGCCTTTTGGAGAAATATGGTCCTGAGAGAGTTTACGATACCCCCATTACCGAGGTTTCAATTTCTTCTTTTATTATTCTTTTTTATGTCCGTGTTTCTTACTTAGATTGAGTAGATTTCTGACAGCCATCTTTTTATCATGATTTAGGCTGGATTTACTGGAATCGGAGTTGGTGCCGCCTATGCTGGCTTAAAGCCTGTTGTAGAGTTTATGACGTTTAACTTTTCTATGCAGGTTAGCCTTTATTTTTCTTACATCTTCCCTCTTTCCTTGATTTTATTAGGCATCATCGTTGCGTTATGGGATCATGCACTTTGGTGCAAATATGTTGACACTCAAGTGCACACACGTTCTTTTCTATGACTGTGTAGCCTAACATTTCTATTGGAATTTGTTTCAGGCAATTGATCATATCATAAACTCTGCTGCAAAGTCAAATTACATGTCTGCTGGACAGATAAATGTACCCATCGTCTTTAGAGGACCCAATGGTGCTGCTGCTGGTGTTGGTGCTCAGCATTCTCAGGTAAATAAATGCTAACGCAAATTCTGTATAAC